AAACTATATATAATATAGTATAATAAAGAAAACAGCATATAGTGGAGCAAAGATATGTGCTATAAGAAAAGCAAAATTTCAGTTATTGCCACCGATTACTAATCCATTTGCGATCGTTATACCTTATTACGTGTAACGAGACAATTCACAACAAGTATTTACCTGTGCAATGAAGAAATATTATTTTACGACAACAGTAAGCAAGACCCTAGCTGCTGGCAAGAATTTCCAGCACTATTTACTGACAGAACCAGCCACCGCCATATACAACACCGGACCATCAATGCAGGGTTTCTTCTACATAGGAGGCACTGCGGCGCACCGCCGTTGTCAAATTTAACAATGCCGTTGTGGAAATGTTCCTGTATTTACCTGCCGTTGTCAAAATAGTGTCAATCCAAAAATAAATAGATTACCACGTGCTGACTATATACACGGAAAATCGTAATGAAATTCACAGCAACGTTTATTTCTTTTTGCGTGCCAGCACGCTCGTGTGTCATTCCCAATTGCAGCTTTTTTCTCGATTCCGGGAAGGTTTTGCTGTTGCTCCCTCATACCAGCGGTGCCCACCCCTACATAATACAGCAATAACCACGCCCACGCGACTGTAACAATCAGTGCATTCGCCCCCCCCCCTTCCGTACTTCAATCAATACCGCCCCAGCCAGCAAGCACAAGCCACGATGTGCACAGCCACGGACGTGGGTAACAGGGGTGTCGCTTTTTGTGTCACGGGTTGGTTTTTTTGCGTCAATGCGTTAGAAGGCGTAGGGCATGCGGGAGTGCGGGAGAATGGGTGCAGATCGATGCGTGAGTCTCCTGCGAAATACGGAGCGTGAGACTGGGTAGGTCTGATAACAGACTAAGATTTAAACTAAAGGTGCAATTTAATTTTGTCGTGGTGCCTCAAATGCAGGTCAATGCAGTCTAAGACATTCTAATTTTTAAAATTTTCTTGCGGGACACCCACAGAACCCCCTCTACCTCTCTCCTCCGCATCTGCCTGCAGAATCCACATTCGTGCCTACTGCACGCCTTTGAGGCCACCATGTGCGTTTTTCCCCAAACTGGCCATTACCGCCGTTGTCTAATTTTCCCTCAGAAGAAACCCTGCAATGATATACAATTTCATTCGTAGAATATTATCACTTAGTAACATCAATTATTGTATACCCCGCGACAAAGTCGGCGGGGATACTATGGTTTCATGTCTGTCCACCTGCCGCCGCCACAGACACTTTCCCTTCCGCTCTATAACTCGACCCCTAATTGACCTAGCATGACCTAACATAGTCTACTTACACATCTTGGGGAGAAGGTGCGCGGCGTACCAAAAGCAGGTCACTGCGACCTTTATTTGACCTTGAGATTGGCCTTGATCATATTTCCCTTCCGCTCTATAACTCGGCCCCTAATTGACCTAGCACTACCAAACTTGGTATACTTACACATCTTGGGGAGAAGGTGGGCAGCGTACCAAAACCAGGTTACTGCAACCTTTATTTGGCATTGACCTTGACCTTGATCATATTTCCCTTCTGCTCTATAACTCGGCCCCTAATTGACCTAGCACGAGCAAACTTCGTATACTTACACATCTTGGGGAGAAGGTGTGTCGCGTACCGAAACCAGGTCACTACAACCTTTATTTGACATTGAACTTTACCTTGACCTTGATCATATTTCTCTTCCGCTCTATAACTCGGGCCCCTAATTGACCTAGCGCTACCAAACTTCGTATACTTACACATCTTGGGTAGAAGGTGTGTCGTGTAGCAAAACCCCTAAGGCAACCAATTTTAACATACTTGCACATCTCAGGCAGATGAGTTGTGTAACAAACCTTTGTCTTTGTGACTTATTTAACTTTACCTACCTTCTACGTCCTTACAGAGATATTTCATTCATACTAGATCACGGGGTATACATGTAGTTGGCGCAACTGCCCTTTCTAGTTCAAATATGACGTCTCCTTGCAAGTCATCTGTGAAAATGGGAGGTTTGCTACACAGTAGTGTGAGTGTTTGCTACATCGTTATGGAGCAAACGATAAACTGTCATTATAATTACGATAGCTAATAACATGAAAATGTGAATGAAATTTTTATCACCATTGAAAGGCCCATATGAAATGTGCTTTCCGCTGACGTGCGAAGAGTAAGTGTCTGATAACCTTTTGACCCTCAAGAGGACGGGTAAACACGGATTTGTTGACTGTTAACAAAGGACTTAACTGCTTTTGCTATTAGAGCCCCCTCCCCCTCCCCTTTATGCAGTTATAGCATGGAAAAGTGGATTTGACCACATCATACCAGCAATAAATTTTATCGTATGTCGACTCTAAAAATCACAAATGGTGCCTTCAAGCCAAGTGCATAATTAAAACAAAAGGGCGTGCAATTCTGTGTGGTAAATATTATTGAGTTTTATGTCAATAATTCGGAGCACTTTCTGTCATTGTCATTCCCGTGTTACTATATTTGACTGGTAATCCACAAGCTTCTCTAATAACAGACTTTACGCGGCATTAGTACTACACTCCTGTTACACTAGTATGTACGTCTGTGTTTACACTCTGACCTGATTCCTGCGGTGCGACTATATGCATTACTGCACCATGATGGATGTCTCGCACTACCGCGAGAAAGTCCGAGAGATGGCAACGGTAAACATAAACAGAATGCAAAATTGTAATCGTGCAGGATTTGGTGAATACGAAGGTTCTAAGACATTTTATCGTTACTCTAGGCAATTGCTGTTACTCAAGCAATAACGGTAGGTATCATGATAGTGGGGAAAACATTGGAAAACTCTCGCAATAGTTACTTTAACATAGCTGTATTTTTATTACTATACTACCGGTATAGCAAAGCCTATCAGATTTTAGATCTGTATTAGTAGTATTCTATAGGTATATGCTCTGAGCGCGAACGCGGTGGCGGGAGGCCGCACTTGATTCAGTTGCTAGTGAGTTTCTCAGAAGAATACCCGGCTACAGTACACGTCAGTTGAGCGCTGTCGCTCTGCGGCACTTGTTTAATTATCATTTTTACTTGCAGCATACTGTCATCTAGCCATGCAGGCTTCAGCATCTAAATACATCAATTAAAATAAGTTTCAGGTGGTAACTAGCTGGCACGTGGAACTGGTGTCGCTACACCAACTAAACACCTTTACCCATCCAGTACTGCACTAGCTGTCCTGTCTCACTTGATTTGTTAGATCTAAGCACCTACACTAAATGAATAATATCTCAGAATTAGATTCCATATGGATACACCACTTCTGGCTAGTTCTTTAACCAAGTTGTTTTCTACACTTTCTCCTATTCCACTATTCTGTTCAAAACAGTTCAGAACTGCACTGGTTAATTTTTGTCTTACCACCTTTACGATTCAGCACAGGGTTAGCTACCAAGCGCCCCGAGCTACCGCCGCGAGCCCGAGAGCCCGAGCTACCGTTGCGCTTGGCAAAGCGTGTGTAGCCTGGGGAAGTGGTGGTCCCCAGGCATATTTAAGTTGGATGTGTCCATGCTTTGGCAATCCTCCAGTCTTAATCACTTTAATTGTCCCCTTTCCGATTTGCTTCCTGCCCTTGGATTTCAGCTTTTGTACTATTAGGAAAATAACCTTTTCCAGTAATCTGTTGGACACTGCATTACAGAAAATGTGAATACGTGGAGAACGAAGCTGATTTCGATTTGTCATGCACTATAATAACGCAATCAACTCTACATGCCTTCGTGAACATCAGTGTGCATTTTTAGCTCACCTTGACATCGTCAAGCTGAGCTATTGCCATGGGTCGTCGTCCGTCGTACGTCCGTCCGTCCGTCCGTCAGAAACAGAAACACCCCGAAAATCAGAAACATAAACAGAAACAGAAACAGAAACGCGGCCACGTATGAATTATTTCTGCGCGCGGTTAGATCGCCCATAGATGTGTTTGAATATCTATGGATCGCCGTAACATCTGCACAACGGAGTTCCCTGTTACGAACCTATAACGACGACCGATATATAAAGCGGAACACGATAACGAAGCGGAGTTATTATTAGTCCATCTCTGTGACAATGATTCCAGCTCAACCAGACTTAGTACGTTTGTCATCCGGATTATCACGGGCTGTTTTCGTCATAGTTTGGTATAGCTAGGACTTCACGGTCGAGTGTGGAATCTGCTGTGCATATACCAGTCCTACACAAGCTTCGAAAAGCCATTCCTGACACAGCGCGTGTGAAGATACAAGATGTGGACAGCCCTATCACCAAATGTGCCTGTATGAGGTAAATTCATATATATGTATTACTGGTTTGATTTATTTTGGTTCGATTTGGTTTAACATGTGATCGACCTGAAGGTTCTGATGAATTGTATAGGAATATTGAGGAGCCGTAACTTTAGGGTTTACTCATGAAACATCAAAACCTAATACTTCGGAACACAATTAATTTTGGTGGAAAACTGAAAATCTGCATTAGATCTTTCCCATGTATATGTTCTTGTAGATAAGTATTTAGTGTTAACTCTTGGAAAGATGTATATAGACTATATAGCTAGGCTTAAACTACTTACAGTTACAATTACCATTCCTGGTCGAACAGTGCATGGAAAACATATAAAACATCTATATATGCTTTGTAAATAACACATGCAGTAGCTATATAGCTACTATATTGATATATACATTTTAAATGTTATTCATCACGATTTCTCATTTTATTGTGTGTTACTCTAATATTGATATTATTACAATTTTGTATATATTTAGTTGCTGAGATCTGCTACTATAGTGCTAGCTGCAACAAGTTGCCAGAATTTCAACACTATATTTGGTGAAATGCAGCCTATAGCTATCTTGCAGTGCTTGCACTGAACTAACGCTGAGAGGGTCTATGTCCCCCGGGGTACTGCCGGAACGTACCCTGGTTACGGTCCGGTATACCGGAACGTACCCTGGTACTATCTAATATGCCGTACCGTACCTCGCCTACTCCA